AATTGAATAATTCCGATCGAAATCCATTTCGACTTATTCCATGATAGATGTCCGGAGAAGACCGGCGTCGCGTCACCAATTTATCACTCTCTTTTTATGAGATTTCTCAGTTGTTAATCACTAAATATTAGAAACTAAAGTTACCTATAGGAGCCCGAGAAAAAATTTTATAAAATTGTACATATAAAATTATAAAATTATATATAATTATATATATATGAAATATGTTCAAATATGGACATATTTCATACACTGAATATCCTTGATCTACGCGAGATTACTTCTCGTGAGCAGAGTGGATTAAACTAAATCGAAAAGTCCTTTACCATTTTGCAATTTTCGCAATATTTTAGAAGATATTAATTTCTAACGATCGCCAAATAAGTATGCATCCGTGCAAACTACTGCCAAGACTGTGCCTATCATTTGTTGTCGATTGTCGCTGGGGATTACCAGGTGCGCGCTAAACGCCACTCAAGTGACGCGTCTACCAAGCAATCGTTATTCTCCGTGCAACAAGCGATCGTATACTTGAAGGTCTGCGCGCATACGTGCTTATTCAGTAATATTCAAAAATTAATATCTCTTAAATTAATATCTCTGTATTACAAAATTGTATAATGGTAAAGAAATAATGGTAAAGAACTTTCGACTAAGTTTAGTTCGCTATACCTGCTCATGAGAAGCGATTCCGTAAGTTGAGGACATCTTATATTATTATATAATTTTATGTAACTAAAATTACATAATTTTGTAAAATATTTTTTTCCCTGTGTGATAAAGCAAATGAAAGCACAAAATTATTAAGAATTAGAGAAGAAAGATGATTTATAGTATAATTAATAATAATAAAAAATTAAGTTTCTATGACATACAATAAAATGTATAAGTATCTTGTACTTATGCATGTAAAACTTAAAGATACTGTATCAAAAAATAACTACATACGAATATCTCCGTTTATAAAGATCTAGGTAATGCATTTAGGTACAGCTAAAATATCTAGATACTGCATCTAGATACTTTTAGCTAGATAATCAAGTTCCAACTGTATATTTGACATATGTATCGAATCATATCTGATCGTCTACGAAATATATGTAAATCTTATACAAATCATATGCAATTACATTTCAATTGCATGATTAACGAATTACATATAGGATGTTCATCCATAAATGTCTGAACAAATATTTCAACTGGTTGAAATTAAGAAAGTTTAATAAGAAAAATTTGACGATTCCGAGTCAACTACAAAGTGCACGTAAAAATTTTTTTTTCTACGCTTAGGTTTTTCGAGTTATGTTAACATAATTAACATAGATTAACATAGTTTTTTTAAATGGATACTTATAGTTTTTTTTGTATGTAGTAGAGAGTAGATTTGCAATCAAAATTGTATATACAATATAATAATAGTAAAAAATTGGTACTATGCATCGTTTACGAGATAATTGACGTCTTAAGTATCAAATTAGTAAATTGGATTCTAAGTAATTTTGAACGTGGTTTGAAATGTCAAAGAAAGATCGAAGAAGAAAACAAATAATGTTTTTTATGGAACATTTATTAATCCATAAATCGAAATTTTGATCATTAATACAATATTTAACACATTTTATAATGTTTCTCATTGTTAACTGAAACTTTTTTACTGTAATGCCTTTAATAGCTCTAGTGATTTTATGTCATAAATCTTCTTCATTTTCAGGAACAGTTGCGTAGACAATGTCTTTAATATATCCCCAAAAGAAAAATCCACAAGATCAAATCCGCAAGATCTAGATGTAGGGTCATTAGTATCTATCCAATAATTAGGGAATCTATCATTTAAAAAGTGGCTATAACATGTGTATTATGTGGTGGAGTCCCATCTTGTTGAAAAATAATATCTCGAAAGATTGATAATGGAAGATCGCGTAAATAATTTGAAAAGTTGTTTGCAAAAATTTCAAATATCTATCACTATTAAAATAACCATAAAAAAAGAAAAATCCAACAATTTCCGATGATTCCGCATCACACGTTCACTGTAAATTTGCATTGAAAACTTCTATCTCTTATCGCATGTGAATTCTCATCAGAACAACTATGCGTTATGTCGGTTTTCCATACTACAATTTGAAAAACACGATTTGTCAGACCATAATATTTTTTTAAGAAAATCAATGTCATTGCGATAATTAATTCAAAGCCAGTGACAGAACATTAATCGACGATCTGCATCTCCTTTATGTAAAACTTGTACTAAATTATTACGAAATGGTTTGAATTTGTATTCTTTATATAGCAGTGCACATAACTTCTTGATATTTCTAAATTACGTGCTATTATTCTTATATAGATGGTTTGTTTTTAATAAAACTTAATAGTACCCTTGTCTCTTTCTCTTGATCTGATTGTACGATGTTGTCTTGTTAGTAATCTTATTCAATGTAATTGATCTTCGACTCGCCGAAATTGTGACCGTTTGATATCCTTTGTTCTGGATATTTTTGTTGATAAAATAATCAAGCTTCGTTTTCATTACACATTAAATGCCACATTACGAGCACATTATACTAATTGTAAACATCGTTATTTTCATAATCTACAATATGATATGTATTCATTGAAAAGATAACTGACTGACTAATTAACAGATACTGCATTGAATTTCATACTCCATGCTAGACAAATACTTTATTTACAAAACAAGCAGTCACGTATTTTGACAAATTGAAGTGATCCTGTTTGACATAATCGAATTCAAAATATTAGTCTGAATCTTGTTTTTCAAATTGTGATATAGAAATCAATTTCTTAAGACTCAATACTTAAGATGTCGATTATCTCGTAAATGATGCATAGTAACAATTTTTTATTACATATGATTTTGATTGAAAATGTTCCCTACTATACAAGCTGCGTTCGGTAATGTTAATCTGAGGCGTCGGTCTTTTATTATAGCATATGTCACATGCACTGTAGGAAAAGAGCACTCCGATACCTCAGATTTGCATTGCTGAACGCAGCTACAAATATGCAAAAAAATTATAACTAGGTATCCATTAAAAAAAACTATGTTAACCTATATAATTCGAAAAAAGTAGTAGAAAAAAGAGTAGAAAAAAATTTTACGTGCACTTCGTAGCTGAATTGTACAAATTTTTGTTATTAAACTTTCTTGTAATTTCAACCAGTTGCAAGATATTTATTCAGACATTTATGGGTAGACCCTGTATATCACGATCAAAAATTAGTAATAGAATCAATAGAACATACATGATATATTTAACAATTTATCGTATATGATTCCGTACAAAGACACATCCATTATATATGATAAACGATCTTACAAAATACATGTTTTGTCAAACACTTAATACTTAACTGAAAAAATTGAAAAAAATCTTCAAATATTTGAAATATTATATAATTTTATATTGATAAATTACACATATATTAGAAACAACATTAGATTACACATACGTGGTGTGTGTGTGTGCGTGCGTGTATGTGTGTGTGTGTGTGTATACACATACGCGCGCGTGCGTACAATTCAAGTAGATGTCATTCATATTGCATGCAATTTTCTCATATGTCATTTATATATCAATCATATACGCGCGACAAAATCTCAAGTAATGTATATTATAAATCCTATATGACTCATTAGCATATGATAAAATCATACAGTTATATAGAATGATATGTGAATTGTATGACTCATTAGTATCGACATATCATTTTACTATCATATATTTTGTCATATTCCTAAAATATTCCTAGAATGTTATATAAATATTATTAAAAAAAATTAAAATAAGTTATTATATTTTGAAAACATTATATAATATTTTTTAATGTTATAAGAGTATTCTATGAATGTTATATGTCTATTTATATAAATATGCTTAGTGTATTTCCTTTATCATCCTTGAAATATTTATTAATATTAATTATTTTTATTTTAGTGCAGTTTAAATTCACAATCCAGTAACGAAAATATCTTATGAATATATGCTGTGTTTTGTGCTTAAATAACGTTTCGATGTTATTTTACGTACATACAGTCTTACAACTGCTCGCCAAAATTATTTTCAGTCTTTAAACATATATTTAATCGATGTAACAGTTTTACAAATTAAAATAAATGTTGTTATGATATTTTTTAATATTCATACGATATTATAGTAACACTAAATAATATTACTTTTAATCATGTAATATTAGGAGTGGACATATAATCATTAATATTTCAAGAATATTATTTAATATTATATAATTTCAATAAAATATTCTTCAAATGTTATGTTTAATATTCTGGAAATATGCCTAAAATATTATTTAAATATTAAATATTAAATTAATATTAAATAATATTATGTGCCTATAGGGATGTGACGGTAGTAACTGAGCGATTTCTATTCAAGTTTTTTTGAGTCTTTTTAATTATAAATTATACTACATTTTATTATTTTTCATGGAGTTTCAATATTTATTTTAGAAAATTGAAAGTATATTAGTGTATTTAAAAAAATTTTTTTAACCATCCCAAGTAGCATAATAGCGTTTGCAAAACGCTAAAAAATGATTATATGTGCTTTTTGGTGTTTTGTTAATGCTTTGTAAGTGCTATGTATAATGGGATTCTGAGGAAAGGTGAAAAAAAACAAACGAATTCTAGTGACCCATGTTTGAACGAATGAGATATCAAATTGTATCTTGTATTGTAAAAGTTAATATTTTGTTTATTGAAAAGAAATCTTATCTCGTACATAATGTGCGTAACATTCATCCACGGTGTGACCATACTTTATTCCATTTATGTGCAAATATGCGCGCGATTCACGGGTCGTGACATGCGATAACAAAGATGTGATATGTCGTTCGTTTTAGCGTTATCATCTATCAAAAATGACGATCGTTGGCGAGAAAATACGATCAGCATCTTCATGATTGTTTCGGCTTTCATTTTCTGGACTCTAATTTACTGATGTATTTCATTTGCATTTTAGGTCACGAAAAATGTATGTTTCATCACGATTTGGAGTTGGATCACCGACCACCCACGCGGGAGTCGATGATACCGGAAATGTCTCGAAGTTATAAGCTGCTCCTGAGTTCGTTGGGCGAAGATCCGGAACGACAGGGACTTCTGAAAACGCCGGAACGTGCTGCGAAGGCCATGCTTTTCTTCACGAAAGGATATGATCAGAGTCTCGATGGTAAGTTATAATTTTGAATGTTGTTTTACTTATATCAAAAATTAAAAAAGCTATAAAAAATGAAAACTCCTTAAAATTAATCGCAATTAATTGTTCTTGCATGTTCAGCTAAAAAAAATAATAGTCGAAATTGTTAGAACGTTTACTAGAATGTTTAGAATTATTTAAATCGCTCTCCTTTCGAATTGACACTGGAAATGTTGCAAAATTAATATGCTTGCGGATGTATAAGCGCAGAAAAAAAGAGAAAATAGTGCAGCCTTGATTTGAAGGTCGACTAATACAAGGTTAGACTTGATCCATGTAATATGAATTCTACAAGCGGCAATTACATTGCGATCCATCGTTTATTGCTTAACAGCAACGGCTGCCATCCGGTGATCGCTATTTCTGCAAAAGCTGATTTCCTATAGTTGTGATAAGGAATGTTACGATATTTTGAGTCGTTTTACGATCAGTAAGATTATTGAAACAGCCTTTATTTCCTGAAAAAAAATGCCCTTAATTTTGATACATTAGTCAAGAAATATATGTTATCACAAATTGGTTAATTTAAAACTTTCGACAAATAAATATATATATCGTCATTGTGTTACAACATTAGAGAAAATTTCTTCTAAGAATTTTCTTCTTAGAATTCTTTGTAATATTTTTGTAATATATATATATATA